AGATTCGCAGGCACTACCCTTCACAGGCAAACGCGAAGTCTCAAGAGTAGCCTACTCCGAAGAAGTGGGGGGCTCGGGGCAAGGATGGAGGCCAAAAAAAGAAAAAAGAAAAAGAAGAAATAAAAAAGTAAAGAAACGAGGAACTTTGAATCCACCTAGGTCTGCCTCCCCTCAGGTCCCCTCCCCTATGAACATCAGCAGACTCTGCTAAACGCCAATCGGGGGATCCAGAGATAGACCACTGGATCCCCCGATTGGCATTTAGCAGAGTCTGCTGATGTTCATAGGGGAGGGGACCTGACAGGAGGCACAGGGATTGGTCCTGTTGGCATGGTCCCTGATGCTACCAGCTGTCCTCTAGCCAGTATCGCCCACCTGCAGGTCGGGAGCAGCCCCCGCATGTTCTCTTGTGAACATGGTTCTGGCTGCTACGGGGTTCCCCGTATGCCTACAATTAGGAGTAGTGGTAGGTAGGTAGTGTGAGGTGAAATTGAGAGAAGAATATGGCTTTATAAAATAAAATAAAATAAAAAGGAAGGCACTCATGTCACAAGTGCTTTGAGGAATGTATCTGGCCAGGAAGTGAGGAACATGAAACAGGTCGTTTTCCTTTTTTGTTTCTTGTTGTGAGGTCCTTGTAGCGCCCTGCCAGCCAGGCAGGGTGGGCCAGCCAGGCAGGGTGGATTCCACACTCGCTTCATTCAGTTCCAGGGGTGAGTCCCACCGCCCAAGTTTAAGTTTAGAAAACGTAACCGTGTGACGCCATTTTGACATTAATAAATTCGAAGCAATAAATTAAAAACTGAAAAAAAAACGCTAGAAACAGCTGTTCTCTTTATTTTTTATTAAGTAACTCGGAGAAATGAAACACTTCTGGCACAGTCGGAGTGAATATCTCCCTGGAAAAGGGATACCTCCCGTGGTGAGGGGACAGGAGGTCACCATTCGTAAAATGGACAGGGAAAACATGGATGGCCAGATGCATTCATTGCGCAAAGAAGGAAGAGAGTTTGATGCGAGAGAGCCAAACAGAGCTGTCAGAGCTCCTCCGTTTCGGGGTGTAACGATGTCTTTAGAAAAATAAAAAATGAAAGGCAAATAAGTTGAGAAATGTACCCTACCCTCTGTAGGGTAGTTTTCTCAATGGAAAATGGTTTCCCGCCCAAACGGAAAGGGCCAAAGCATACGACAAAACCGATTTCACGTCAACGAAAAAATGTGCAGAGCGACCAAATCTAATAGGTTATTCTCCTGTATTTAGGTACCCTTAGATTCTCAATACATCAACGGCAGAGCTCGGTCCCACCATGCCACCCGTGATAGAAAGCTCAGTGTTGAGAAAACTCAACTTCGGCGGTGGGACTTTACCCC